ACCCCGTCGCGCAGCATGAACCGAATTGCTCTTAAAGCTTCCCAGTTTGCTTTTCTAGAACCGAAGCCCATGACGTTCACACGCTCAGAACCAGACACTCCAGCGGACAGAAGAGGCCCCAGGCCGCGGGCAAGGCTGGCCCCCGCGCAGATGCCCACACTGATTCCCACACCGATTCCATGGGAAACACTGGGCACCAAGGGCCCCCCGGCAGCCACCTCGTGCCACACAGAGGCAGCGCCTTGCGGTGGCGCCCCCAGGGCCCCACCCCACCTCTGAGCCGGAGCTCCTGCGGGAGCTGGAGAAGGCTCGACTTGCCAGGGGCTCGGCCGCCTGTTTTCAGACAAAGCAGCAAAATGAAGAATGCGGCCGGAGAAGTGAGGAGAGAGCCTCCACAGTGGGTAGGGGCTGTGACCAAATGCAGGAATTCGGAGAATTCTGCAGCCCCCTCAGAACGACCGGCTTCTGAGGCTGCACCCCCCAGTCTGGGCTCCCACTTTCCAAGGGGGGGGGGGCAGGTGAAGGGAAAGGGGATTCCAGAGCAAAGGACGAAGGTCTGGACAGCCGAGCGTCTGAAGAACAGAGGCCCAGGACGCGCCGCTGCCGCCAGCGGGCCAGCGGACTCTCCGAGCCGTCAGTGAGGGGTCCGCGGCACTTTCACACTCCTCGCCAGGGGAGGATGTGGTCTTAAGGAAGGTGAGGTGGTGGCCCGGGTCCCCGCCGGGGAGCCAGCTGGGTCCGCTCAGGTGCACACGCCTTTCCTGAGCACCCGCAGCTGTGCCCAGTTCGGAAGCAGAAATAGGCACGTGGTCTGTCCCGGCTGCGGGCAAAGGGCGCTCTCGTTGGACTGTGACAGGCAGGGAGCAAGGACCTGTCCAAGGGCCACCCCCCCAGCGAAACGGGGACAAAATGGCACTTGCTCCGTTAAAATCATCAGCCAGGGGCCGGGGCAGAGCAAGGCTGCAGGACCACCAGGGGTTCCCTCGGCGCCCGGGCCGGTGGAGGGGTCGGAATCCCTGGCCCCACACCCGGGAACTTCGCAAACGGGGCCGGTGAGAGGCGATGGTACGCGAACGAACAGGGGCTGCAAGGACAGAGCTCGTGCCTCCGGGCCCACCGAGCAGGGGCGGCGCGTCGGCAGGCCTGGGCTGCGTTTCAGGGCGGCCCTTCACAGAGACCCCGTCCCAGGGAAGCGTGCGCGGGGAGACTGGCTGCAGCCGGCACGCCCGGCCCACGGCCGCCCGGGCCCCTGGGGCGGCTTTCACAATTACAGACTCCGACTGGAGCCGGACTCAGCCAGGCCTGGGAGCAATGTCCCAAACTTTGGGGTGCGTCAGAAATCCTCAGGGTGTGGGGCAGCCTCCGCCCCAAGGACGCTGATTCCAGACGGGGGGATCCGCGCTTCGAGGAAGATTTCCAGGCGGTTCCGAAGCAGCAGTCTGGGACCCCGTGTGGAGAAGCTCTGCGTGTGGCTGCCTCTCCCGTCCTGTGAGGAGATGAGGGTGGGGAGGAGGTGGGGCTCCGTCCCCCGCATCCCGGGATCCGTCGGCGCTGGCATCTGAGGTCAGCAGCCTGGGCCTGAGCCACCTGCCCTTTCTGTGCAGGTCCTGTTTGTCTGCTGACCTCGGATGGGGCGTGCGCTCTGAACGGTCGCATCCAAGGTAATGTTGACGGTAATGTATCAGGCTCAACGGTGACAACTGACTCCAGGTGAGGGGCTGGAGGCGAATTAAGCACTACTTGCTTCCATGTGGGAGCAACTGAAGGAGGCACAGCCTGTGTGCACTGAACCAGCTTTTTAATCTCCCCCCGACTCCCCCTCACCCCCCTCGGAGGCTGTCTGTCCGCTGTGCGGGTCATCGAAACGAAGCATAGAGATCGCGTAGGCCGACGTCACCCCCGCCGGCAGTAGGGGTGCTCGCCGGCTGCTGGGGTTCGATCCTGACACGACCCTATGTGTTCACTGTGCCACATAAAGGCATTGTTTGGCCAGGACTTGAGAATTTAAAAAACGAAAACAAAAACCGAACTTCACCACGGACAGTTTAAGAAACACTGCTGTGAAGACAATTCCACAAGCGGGTGGGAAAGCGTGCGTGTGTGTGCGTGTGCGTGGGAGTGGGGGTCAAACGCAAGGGAAAGGATAAAACGGTTCCTTTTCAGCCACAAAAACACTATTGTGTTGGGTAATTACATATTGCATAGTTTCCATGATAAACGAAAACATTTGTTTCCATTTTGGTGGAAATGAGGACAAACCTCTTCCCCTTCCGGAGCCAGCCCTGCGGCCTGGCCAGCGAGCTCCGAGCCAGTGCGAGGGCTGGGACTCCAGGGCGAACCCGCCCGAGACCCCTGTGCCCCCACAGTGCCAAAGCCAGCTGTTTAGGGGCTCAGACCACAAGCCCCCACTGCCCCCTGCTCCTCCCTCGCCCCGGTCACGCCCGTGTGCGCGGAAACCTTTCGCCCGCAGAAAGCACCTAACTGGGGGCTCCATGGTCCACCGAGACCCTCAGCACTGCCGCCCTCGCTTCCGCCCAGCGGGCAGAAAGCCAGTTCCCCTTCCTTTGCAATCGACTCCTCTGGGGCCTGGGCGTCGAACGTCAGTTTTCATTTGCTTCTGCCACAAAAGTGACCGACATGGGTTTTTCCCAGTTGTCCATGTTCATGATGAACGTCGGTCACATGAGAAAGTGGCTCGGGGCAGACGGGCGCCCAGCAGCCGACTCCGGGCCTCAGGCTCCACGCAGGAGCCGTGGAATTTAGGGTCAGAGCTGTGGGGCCTCGGGGTGTTGTCCGCCCCACGCGGCAGTGCTCAGGGTGAGCGGGGCGCGGCCGGGGAGGCGTCTGCGGGCAGGGGACGCAGGCTGTCCCCGTGACTGGCCCCAGGAGGGGTGGCGAGCAGCAGGGAAATGCGTGGGATGTGTCACCCCGGGATTTTTTGAACTTCAAGTTGATTCGTCTGCTCCGACTTGTAAACCATCGAGAACTTCCTCCTCCCCTCCCAGCATCCTTCTCAATGTGGCTTCTGGGTGACCAGCTGTGTCTGTTGAGTCTCACTGTCCTGGGACTGGAGTAGAAATGAGTCCCCCTGCGGGGACGTCTGGCTGGCCCTGCGGGGCCCCCTGCCCAGTGGGGGGGGGGGTGACCGCTCTGCGGTTTCCCACGTGCCTGCCTCCTGCGGAGGATCTTTGCTGGGAACCCTGCAGAAACAGATGCTGCCGACGTGCGACACGCGACGTGAGCCGGGGAGGGGGCCACCATTCCGACTGTAATGGGGCACAGCCAGGGCCCCCCCCAAAGGGTATTTGTAACGGGGTCCAGAGATTGGGGCGTCCAAGAAAAATATATTCTCCCCACCCCAGGGCGGGCTGCCATGGGGGATGGGAGCCTCGAGCATGGCCTTTGAGAGTCATTCTGCATGTCAATAACAGGATAGCTTTGTTCCTCATATGCAAAGAGGGTTATTTTGCATGTCACCAAAGCTAATCAGGAAGGTTTAAAAGACTTAATGCAGAAAATGTAACTGGGGAGGGAAGGAGGAGAGACAGGGGCCTGCGGGAGAGAACAAGGCACACAGACTCTGGGGAACAGCGTGAAGACCACGCGGGAAGAAAGAGGGGAGAAAGGACTCTTGCTCGTGGGCCCTGAGAGGGTGCCGCATGGTTACGGATTAAGAGCTGGAGATCGCGGCGACGCAGCGGAGGGTGCTGAGACCCGCGAGAGGCCTGCCCAGCCAAGCCCCGGACTCTGTTCTTTTCCTTCTGGAGGGCGGCGCCCCTGACTGGCCTGACTGGCCTGACTGGGCAAAGGGGGGAAGGCAGGACGGTGTGTGTGCTGGTGGTTGTTTTAAAGGGATTTTGAGGTTTAAGAGCGACATTTAGCCATTCATCAAACCTGTATAACTTTTGAATAAATAGGTCCTTTCCTTTTCCCCAAACTCTGCCATTCAGAGCCCTCATTCCAAGGGCGGGGGGCAAAGGCCCCACAACCGAGGGGCCCGGGGAAGGGGGGGGCGTCGTTTCGGTCATAGCATCTGGGCACCCCCCCTCCACGGGTCCATTTCTTCGGTATCACGATGACCAACGGGCAGGCGCGCTGGCCTCCATCTGGCCTGCGGCCCAGGCCAGCCTGGGTTCCTCTGCTTTGGGTTCTTGGGGGGCCCACCTACGAGGCCCGCAACCCCCGCTCCCCAAGAAGACGGGGCACCAAGGGGCCCTGCGCTCCCTCCCACACAGCGCATGGCGTCGTGGGGCCCAAAACCCAACACGCGGCTGGGCTGTCCTCCCACACGCCCACCGCGGCCCACGCCCCCCACACCCGCTGCCCTGGCCGGTCTAACGCCAAGGCAACGGCCGCTCCGCTCGGCCGGCCCAGAGCCACACCAGGGGGGCCGCCCTCCCTGCCCACAGCACACCCAGCTCACGCTCACCCGCTCACACTCACCCTCACAGGTTCACGCTCACCTGCTCACACCCACAAACACCTGCTCAAACACACTTGCTCACCCCCTCAGGCATCTGCTCACTTAAGCACGTGTGTTCACATGGCGTACATGTGTGCACTAGCACGTTCACACCCACACATGCACGTGCATGCCCACGCACACACTCACGTGCGCCTTTTTACACAGCAGCCGTCTGCAGCGAGAAGAGCCGGAGCTGCCCATTCTGAGTGCGAGCACCTTCTTGGGAGCCAGCGCGCGCTGGGGTTTGCACCGTTTGGGACAAGAGGCCCTCCGAGCAAAACGTTCTGTGCCCACCTCCCGCATGTCACATTCCAGGGGCGACAGCCAGAGGCCAGGACGAGCCCCCTATCAAGGAGCCGGGGCGGGGCGCCGGGAGGGGAGGGCAGGAGGCGCGGGCGCGGCGGTGGGCTCGCTCATGCGTGGAGGCGGGGCCGTGGCGTCTCAGGGGCTGCTCCTCTGCGCAGCGAAACCGCCTCCTCTTCGAGACCAGGCAGGGTGGCCTGTCCGGCGCGAGCGCGTGGCCTCCGGGCGGGGGCTACGCCTCCGCCGCCTGCAGCTCCCTCAGCGCAGCCTGGAGGAGGTGCCGGAGCCTCCGGAGCAGGGCGGGCGCGGCGCTCCGGGGGCCGCCGGGGTCGGCGCAGTCCTGCACCGCCTCTCGCAGCTGCCGCTGGAGCCGGGAGGAGACGGCGGAGCTCCTGAGAGTCGCGGGGAACCAGTGTCGGAATATCTTGTCACAGACCACCTGGGGGAAGGGCAGTGGGACATTAGCTCGGGGCAGCGAACACCCCCGGGAGCCCCCCAGCCCGTGAGGGGTCCTTCGAGACCTCAGCTTTGCTCCCAATGTCCCCCCAAGGGCCTCGGGGTTGGGGGCCTGCAGATGTGCCTGGACTCAGCCCCATGAGTAAGCCTCCCATCAGGGACACGGTTGCCTCATAGCAGGAGGAAAATTCCTTTTCTGGCCTCGAGCAAGTGGGGGGAGTTCTGGTGCCACCTCACAAAGGACGGGAGTGTGTCTGAAGACACGGGGAGCAGAGAGTCACAGGCCTCGACCGCTGCGTAGGAGCGGCCCGCTCGGCCGCCAGCGGTCACAGGACCTGCGATAACCAGGGCAGGGAGTCCTGCCAGTGCAAGGACATTCAGTGAGGAGCGGCGTGCAAATGCGGCAGCTCCTGGAGGCTCGTGGGCAAAAGGCAGGTGGAGGAGGAAGGCTGAGGGCCCAGGCTCCCTGAAGAGGCCTCTGAAATGCTTCAGGAGCAGAAGTGAAAATTCAGCCACCATCTTGCGGCCTTTTGTTCTAACAGGGCACAGAACCCACGGGCGCTGGAGACCCCTTTGCATTCTCTTTTCACACCTGCCGTTCATGTGCAGCTTTCCGCCTCCGCGCCCACGTCCCCGCCCCCGGGGCAGGAGACGGGCCAGGCAGGCATCGCTCGCCTGCCGCGATTTCCTACAGCGCGCTCAGCGCACGCTCCGCGTGAGCCTCGTTTAACAAATGCCTCTTCCACAGAGTCAACTTTAACTTCCTCTTCCCAGGGCCTGCGAGGGCGAGGGCTCTTTTGAAAAACAAGTTATCTTGTTTCTTTTTTGAATTGCTAATATATTTTCATGGGCAAAAAAAAATGTCCCAAAAGATGGACTGTCATCGTTGTCTCCGCCCCGTCCTGAGAGCCAGACGCCGAGCTCCAGCTCCCTGAACATCCTCCTAGAGAGTCTGCGTGCACAGCGGGGACTGCGAGTCCTTTGCATGTCCCTCTCCGTAAGCAGGTGTATGGCGCACTGTGCCCTGCAGCTTCCGTTCCCACTCAGCGGAGGGTCCGGGAGCTTTTCACATAGCTCCTCAGAAAGACCTCCCGTTAGTTTCAATGGCTGCACCACAAATGTGCAGATGTATCACAAATTTATTATTTAGCTAGTCCCCTATTGGTGGAAATGGAGGTTGTCTGCTAACTCTTACTGTTCTGAACAACGCTGCAATAAGCAGCTTGCATATATATGCCATTTTTACAGGTAGCTAAATTTCTAGAAATGGAACTTCTGGGCCCAAGAGCATGTGCACTTTTTGTTTTGATGGATCTTGCCAAGTGGACCTCATAAACGTTGTGCTGAGTTACACACGCACAGCAAATACGGTGAGGATGCTCGCTCCCCGTATGCCCTCGCCAGCACACGTGCTCTTTCATTTGTGCCAATAATGGGCGACGAGGTTTACTCTGCGTTGTCCTGATCAGTCAGGAGGGAAGCTATTCCTGCCTCCTTTCCGGTCACGGTCAGGTTGATACGCTTTGCCCCTGTACCACCAGATGGCTGGCCCTTTTTGTATTAATGTGTGGATGCTCTTCACATTTAAGGACTTCGCCCCTTGCTCTGTGGGTTTCCAGGCGAGTGGACTCTAAGAGGGAGGTCTGCACGCGAAGAGTCACTGAGGGGTGTCCTTGGGGACCGCGCTCCCCCGGAAGCGCGAGAGGAGCTGAGTGGCTGGTGCTGGGTCGTCTGCTGCCCTGCCGGGTCGTCTTCATCGAGGCAGGGGCTGGGCTCAGCAGGCAGCCCACCCCGCTCACCAGGCACCAGACACTGCCCGGGGACATGGGGCAGCCAGGCAAAGCAGCTCTGCGGGCTGAGGACAGCCCTGGGGACACTCTCAGAGCCCCTGGAGGTGTGGGATTAGGGCCTTCACTTGCCTCGTAATGGATCTGTAAGAGCCCTGTATGGAGCAGGCGGGGCCAAAGGAGGCTTACAGTCGTGAAGAAGAAACAGAGCTTGTTCTTGTATTATTGTTTATTAATTATTGTATTGTTTTCCAGGCAAACCACTGTAAACCTGCTTTTGCCCCACCCTGTGTTACGAATAGGAACCTTAGTCTCTCATCACGTGGCAAAGGACAGGTGTTCACGTGCCCACTTCGTGGGCTGAGGTCGCAGGCAGCTGATGCTCTGGGGGAAGCCGTGGTGTCCCCACAGCGGAGATAGAATGACTTCCCTGCAGCCGCACCCAGGGTGCGAGTGCCCAGGAAGTTAAAGAGGCTTGGGGGCGGGGGGGGGGCTTCTGCCCGGCGGGGCCCAGAAACTGCAAATTCACAGCCCCTGCCTGGGTCTCCCGAGAGCAGCCCTCCCGCGCGGCGCGGCACCGCGCTCTGGCCCGCTCCACCCCCAGCTCGCATCACCTGCTCCGCCACCGGCCGGAGTCACCGGGTCTGCACCGGTCACGCCGACCCTTCCGGCTGGAGGGCCGTAGGGAGGAACAGCTGCAGAAAGGTGAGAAACAGGGCGGGAGGCGAGGGGGTGGGGGGGGGCCAGTGCTAGGCAGGGCACAGCGCGAGCTCTGCCTGCTTGTGATCTACACCTAGGAGCTCAGGCTCATCCACACCCTCCTGGGAGCGCAGGTGAGGGCCACGGGCAGGCAACTTCCGCCCAACAAAGAGCGTTCCCGCCGGCGGGCGTGGGGCCTCCCTGACTCCAGACCCGACCCGAGTGTCGGAACCAGCTCCGATTCCTGCCTTCCGCTGATTTCCGGACTTAGGGCACGTGTTCCCTCTGCTATTGCCCACCTGGGGGCCCTAACCCCTCCCCTGTCTGGGCTGAGGCGTCCGTCCAACCTCTGGGGTTTGGCCAGTTTTCGGGACAGCTTTGCAGTCTTTTCATTCTTAGTGCTCACCGTGTGTGTGTGTGTGTGTGTGTGTATGCAGAAAGTAGATCCAGAGAGAAGAGCCCTCTTGCTGAGAGCAGGGGACAGGGCGGGGGGGCAGGCTGTCTTTGCTGGGAACTGCATCCATAGGACCTCATGGTGTCACTTGGCCAACGACCCGACGGGGCAGGCAACAAAGAAGCAGTGACCACCTGTCCCTGATCATCCCCGCCCCAGCTCACGGGGACCCAGGGGGCACAGGGAGGGGGCCGCCTGCATGGACGGGGCGCCGCAGCACCGCCCCTCACCTGCAGGTTGCTGTTGACTCTCTGTGCGCCACACCTGTTGACTCGCAAATCACACCTTGAAAAACAGTCAAAGAAATTGCAGTCTTCGTCTCCCGTGCAATTCTGCTCGAGAATCTCCCTCATTTTAGGCTCAAAAAAGGCCATGTCCACGTCGATAGCCACCACCTGCAACCAAACAGCACAGGGTAACTAAGGGCAGCCGGCTCAGCGCTCAGGGAGGCCCCGCGGCTCTGAGTCCGCCTCCGCATGGGACCGGACGTCCCGGGGCTGCGGGCCTCAGAGCTCTGCAGCCAGCGGCCAAGCCGGCCGCCCTGGGAAGCGCGGCTTTGCTCCCCTCACAGTGGCGTAGACTCTGACTCTGCTGCATGGCTTTTACAGTGAGAAGGGCCGCGCTGTCCCTCGTGAAAGCCTACGGTCGGGAACCCTGGAGTGCGGGGGGTCCGGCCTCGTGGCGTCTCGGGGCCACACTGGAAGAAGGAGAATTGTCTTGGACCACACATGCAATACACTGCTACACATCATCACAAAAAAACTCACAATGTTTTAAGTAAATTTACGATTTTGTGTTGGGCCGAATTCACAGCCGTCCTGGGCCGCATGCGGCCTGGGGGCTGCGGGCCGAAGCCTGTCCCTTTCCGTCCTTCAGCGTTTCTCAGCCTTCCAAGTAGTGCCCTGGAATGTCTTCGGAATGAATTGCCCCCCTCCTGGCTTTACCACTTTGGTCGCTGACCTCCACGGGTCAGGATGACGAAGCAGTGAGCTCAGGTTGGCCACCCCCGCGAACAGAAGCAATACGAGGAAACCGCATCCGAGAGGCAGGTCGCGGGGCGCGATGGTGAAGAGGAGGCGGACAGTACCCCAGCTGCCTGCTGGTGGCGTCTCTGTGACCGGAGTCAACGGCTTTGTCCCTGACTCTTTGGACGGGCACCAGGGGTTGTACGTGTTGTGGGGGGCGGGGGGGATTGCAGTGTCAAAGTCCTCGAATTCCGGTTGAGGCGTGTGGAGCTTGATCCCACGTCAGACGCCACATCCTGTTGGTGCGCGGATGGAGATCCCTGGAATTTCAGATTTATCTTCTTGGCTCCCAACCAAAGAGGCGTCAAAACCACAAGACTAACATCTAAATTATGCAGATTTCCCTTCATCACCTGAATTTTTAAAAAAAGATGAGCTCAAACCTGAGAAAACCTGGAGTCGGCCCAAATCAAGCAGTTCATAGCTTCAAGGTATTAAAAAGCTATTAAAAGACTTGATGAATTCAAGGGAGACTGCATCTCACAAGCCTTCACAGGTCCCCCCTTCCTTCTCCCGTCCGTAGCCCCTCCAGAAAGGGGTCCTTTGTTTTGGTTTCTCACTCAGGATTGATGCTGGAAGGCAAGAAATTTTCTTGGGGCCTATTCAGGAAAACGGAGGAGGGAAAATCGTTTATTTCAAAATATGGGGAGAATAACCAAAAAAGAAAAACAGGGAAGCGTTTCGGTGTTAAGAGCTTTGCTTAATTACTAATCCAGGCACAGCAAACAGAAATTATCATTTTAATCAGTTTTTCCTGTCTCATTATTTAGCCAAAAGAAATAGCTCACTTCATTACTTGCACTGGCTAATAGACTGAAAAGGGATCAGGTTATGCTAATGACCGGTCGGCCTTCTAGGACCGGATTGGCCTGCAAGGCCCCCCTGTTCCCCCCGCGGTTTCTGGCCCTGCCCCCGGATTCCCGGGCCCCAGATGGAGTTTCAGCTCCTTGCAGTTTCTCCCCCTTACATTTCTGATGGCTCCCTTCTCCTCTCCCAGGAGAGCCAGATTTATTTTTTAATTTTTCTGCAAAGCAGAAGGGGGTGCCAGCCATTGTGCGCAGAACCGTAAGCACCTGAAACAGAAACGGCGACTCAACGAATCAGAAAGCCTGCGTGAGGCCTCTTACCCTGCACCCGGAGAGCCCTGAGCCCCCCGTGGGGAGGGACCCGGCCTGCACCGCCTTCAGACGGCACCTCGGCCTCAGCCTAGAAGGGACAGGTCATTCCGTTACCCTTGGAAAGCGTGGCTCTGGGACAGGAAATGTGTCACCTGCTCGGAAGGAGCCCTTGCTGGCAAACGCAGTGATGCTTTGTGCTTGTTTGGGGGTAAACCGTCAGCACCTGTGAGTGGGGACCCGCAGGGGTGCACTGCTTCAGTCATGGGTTCTTCCCACCCCCTCCTGCCGCCTGGGCAGCTGCGACAGGGCCCAGAGGGAGGCCCCGCTGTGGTCCCTGAGCGGGAGCGCAGCAGGAACACCTGCAGGCTTGTCTCCCAGACACAGATTGCCACATCCATCCCCGAGTGTCCGACGCGGGAGCGCGGAGGCCGACGCCTCCGCAAGGCATGTCTGTCCCTCACGGAAGGCGCCCGAATGCCAGGCGTCTCTCGAGAAGTCTAACCCGCGGAAGGGAAGCTCCCTAGAACCGCCAGGAAGGAAGGGCTAGAAAGCGCTGCACGTTGCCACGGGGCCTGGGCAGTTTGAAGACAGTGTCCCCAACTGGGTTGTTGTCCTAAAGCCCGCAGACGCCGCCCTCCCCGTGACCGCTGAGGACGTCCCGCTGCTCTCAGCGAGGACGGGCTTTGCAGGGGAAACCAGGACAGCCCTCAGGGAGGACCCACCCGGTCGCGGGCCCGGGTCCCTGCTGTCCCCGCCTGTCATCACAGTCCCCCTCACCCACGGTGGGGAGGGGTGCATGAACCCCCTGAGTTCTCACGAATGCAGCGCCGGAAGGGCGGGCTGTCCAGACTAGAAGCCTGCGTCATGCTGCTGTGCTTCCCAGGATTTCAGAAATTCTGTCACTGATGACCCCAAAACCCGCCCAGGACACCGCCCCCCTCCCCCCAGAGCACTCACCGTGAGGTCCTGCCTGATGGCGAAGTTCTCGGGCTTGACGTCACAGAGGTGGAGGCGGTGGGAGAAGCCGTGGTCGAACTGCCTCACCAGGTCCAGGAAGCTGAGCGCCACGTCGCTGACGGCCTGGGCCCGGCCCCGGGGGGCCCCGTCCAGGGGGAAGAGGGTCCCGTGGTGGGCGCTGCCCGCCGCCAGGTACTCCACGGCGTAGAAGTGGCCGCAGGAGCCCAGCACAGGCAGGGCGTGTGGGCTCAGCCCCCGCAGCACGCTGAGCAGGACGAACTCCTCCTGCTGTACCAGGGACCACAGGCTGGCCAGCTGGCCCCGCCACCGCAGGCCCCGGCGGCCCGGCCACAGCGGCCCCAGGCTGCGCGCGGACAGCTCCAGGCCCAGGGCGCTCCGCACCTCCCCAGCCACCAGCAGCAGCAGCTCTGCCTCCGGGACGGCCGGGCCCCCGTCCTCGGTCGGGCCCCCGAGCAGGCCGGGCGGCCGGAAGCTGGAGAAGGCTTCCTCCTTGGACTTGAGGACGACGGGGCGGCCGCGCCAGTCCGCCTGCAGCACCTTCTTGCCCCTGTCGTAGTAGAGACAGCGCCGGTACAGCAGCTTCCCCGCCACACACAGGTCCTCGCAGAGGTCGCCCGCCAGCACCCCGCCCTGGTAGTCCCGGCACTGGAAGGGAGGGACAGTGGTCAGGGTCACAGCACGGGGGGGGGGGCGGCGGGGGAGACAGGGAAAGAGCCCAGGGCGCTCCCTGCGCTCAGGACGCTCCTAACAGCCGTTGAAACCTGGCAAATGCGAGCCACAGAGGCTCTTCAGGGCAGTGAGCGATTGAAGGAAAGACGGAAAGGTGACTCATTTTCATGTTTTCCAGCCAGACCCAGGGCTAGGTCCTCAGAATCAACACCCAGGGGGAGAAGGGGTCTCCACCGTCCAGCTGGGCGGTGCGGGAACGGCGGTGTGCCGCCGGGGTTCGGCCTTCTCGGCTGCCAGGGAGAGGGCGGGCCAGGTGGCAGGGCCGCTGAGGGCTTGTGAGCCCATCCATCCAGGGACAGCTGAGTCCGATCTCGGGAGCGGGGACCTGAGGCCACAGGCCAGGCCCTTACGCTGGCGTGGCCCGGGAGGCTCCCGGAGGGTCGCAGGGGTCAGGGAACTGGCGGCAGAAAACGGGAGTCAGAATAGGCCTCACGGCTGCTAGTGTCTGCAGGACCAGAGAGGGGACGTCACCAGGGACGCACTTCAGAAGGGAGGGACCGCGTGGGCTCAGCTGTGGGCGGGGAGGGAGCGTTTGGCTGTGGGTTGTGGTGAGGCAGGCGCCCGGGAGCCCTCAGGCGGGGCATTTCTCCTCACCTTCGGGGTCCTTCTGATGGGCGCCACGCGAGGAGACCTGTGACCCCCCAGCACACTGCCATCACCCCTGAGGAGACGGTCAGCCAGGCTCTGACAACGGACCCGCTGGGGGAACGGCCACAGGCAAGGCCCACCGGCCTCAGCCGCACCTGGCCACCTCCCAGTGAGCAACGCCACCTTCCGAACTTAGCGCCATGTGCGCGAGCTGAGCCGTGGTCCGACGACGGGCCAGGCCCCGCGGTTCACAGAACAGAAGCGGCCGCCTTCCCACCCCATCAATGACAGGGCAGCATGAGATGGCAGGGGCATGGCCAGGCGCGGTGGGCGGGAGACTGGGTTTGCCCCCGGGCTCTGCCCCTCACTGGGTGTGTGGCTCGTCTTCAAATCCGTAATGAGGGACGATAAAGCCGTGTCTCAGGAAGCCTGTGAAGGTCAACCAAGGTCACGGGTGCGGAGGACGTGTCGCCTCAGAGAATGCTCGTTTCTCAGCTGGTCCTGGTCACTAGAAGCCAGGGGCCAGGAAGGCATCTTCCTGGAGAGATGCATCTGAGCTCAGTTTTGAAAGAGATTGCAAGCCTGCCTCGCAGACAAGGAGGGTGAGGGCAGCTCGGCCACGGGGACTTCGCCGGCGCCATGATGCAGTTGCAGAGTCACGTGGGGCGGTCAAAGGACCGGGCCGGTTCACGGTGTGGAGAGCAAGGCCAGATCGCGGGCCTGCAGGCAGCAGACCGGGGTGTGTGATCCAAACTGAGATTCCTCCGTCTCCACCTGCTACATACACTTGCTTTCTGCCCTGCAGAGGTCAGATCCGCCTTCCCCGGCAGCCCCCCCCCGCCCCCCTCTGTCCCGGGCTCTCACTGAAGGATCCCCCCAAGTCACTTGCTCACTGACCCCTGCCCCCGCCCCGCGGGCTCCCCACAGCTCAGCCTCCCCTGCAAAGCTGGATGGGAATCAGATTCAAATCGAACTGAAACCTGTACAAGAGTTGCCCCTGCACATTTGGAAGGAATTCCCCAACAGGAGTTGCAAGATATTTTGAACAGTGGTCTACTCATTGAATTTGGCATCTGACCTATTGATTTGGGAGGGGAACATTAATGTCAGCTATTTTCTGAGGATCAGCACATTGAGGCCTAAGGGATGAGGGGTCAGGCATCGGAAAGCCCAGGAAACAGAGCGCGGTGCCCGGTGGGCTCTGAGGGCTATGACGGACTTCCGGAGCTCCGTGACCTTATCACAGGAGGCTGTTCCCCTGAGAGCCAAGCACACACAATGCAGTTATTATGCAGCTGTTCTTCGTTATCATCCTTTAGGGTGGAGGACTTCGGCCTTCCGGTTCCTATGCCTCTTACGCAGGATGCAAATGAACATAACCTCGGTCCACTCCGGCTATTTCAGTCCCCAGTGTTAGAGTGTGTCCCCAGGGTCTCACGCATGTCTGTGCCTACTCCACACAGAGAAAGGTTTAATCTAGCATTAAAGAAAAAGAAAAGAAAGCAAACCTAACGTGTAAGTTATGAGGTTACAAACTAATTAATAATTGTCATCATGTTAGAGACAATCATGACATTACTTTATCAGCAGCAGGTCCTATTGGAGTAGCTATTTGTAACTAAAAAAAAGTGATTTTATTTACATTTTTAAAATCAGTTTTCTCTGAAACGAGGCGGTCCTAAGTGCCAGTTTGAAGACAGGTACGTTTCTGTGCCCCAATGTGTGTGCTCACAAAATCCACAGGAATAGGCTGGGGGGAGGGCGTGTGAAGGCTCGTTGAAGCTAAGCGGCCTTCTCTAATCACATGAACTCACAGTGCGCTTGTGCTTCCTGCGGGTCACGCAGATGAGCAAACGCACTCTGTCAGCGCACGCGGCTCTGCAGGAAGCGCCCCCAGCGGTTGCCGAATCTCTCCAGTTCGTGTCGCGCTTCGCAGGCGAAAGCAAAACCTGTCCGCTCCGGTTGGAGCACCGCTTGACAGGTCTCAGAAGTCACATCTCAGGTCTCGATTTTCTTTCGCGTGTTTCCTTTGTCTTAAAGGAGCATTTCGTTCCTACATGCTCAGCAACCATCACGTCGCAGGATGGGGTTCCTGGCCCAGCAGCGACCTGTGCGCTGCAGAATCTCCATGCACGTGGCCCATCCCCGGGGCAACCCTTCTTGGCCCTGGACGGCTTCCAGGGGTGTCCAGCCGTTTGGCGTCTCGGGGCCACACTGGAAGAAGAGTTGTCTTGGGCCACCCATTAAATACATTGCAACACGTCATCACAAAAAATCTCATAATGTTTTAAGTAAATTTACGATTTTCTATTGGGCCGCATTCATAGCCATTCTGAAACGCACGTGGCCCGCGCGCCACGGGTTGGACACCCCTTGGACAATGTGCGCGATGCACGCGGACGAAGCGCACAGAACAGAGTCGTTCTCTGCTGCAAGGTCTCCCTGGGCATGTGCCCTGGATGCTGTGGTCCCACGGGGGCCCGGGGTTCCCATCACAGCAAAGAAAGAAGGGCCTGTCCTGACAAAGAGGAACCTCGAATGTAGACAACGAAGTGAAAGCACATCGAGCCTAACCAGCAGAAAGGGAATTCAGCCTCTGAACAACAGCGTCTGTGGGAATCCTCTGAGATGCTTTGAAAGTGATACGCTGTGGAGGGTGAAATGTACCCAGCTGTTCCTGACAGTTCTCGTCATGGAGGAAGCCACTCGCTGTCACGGGGTGTCTGCCATCAGCCAGCACAGGGCTCACCCTGGCTCCCCACTCCCGCACCCACTGCATGAATCAGGGCTCCGCGTCACCATCTGCGAAATGGGGCAGTCAAAGCCACACCTCCCTGGGGCTGTAGAGGGGACTAAGTGAGAGGATGCACGCGAAACTGCTTAGCGCGGAGCCCACCCAGCAGGGCAGACAGGCACCGTGGCCCAGCCCTCTGCGCTCCCACCGCTGCTGCGTGGGGAGCTCTGCCGCAGGGCAGAGGCAGGTCCTGGATTCTCCGGCGGCCCAGGGCCGGTCCGCTGGGAGAGCGGGAGCCTCCAGGTCATGCACTCTGGACAGCAGGGCCGCGGAAACCTCGCAGCGAGGCCGAAGAGGGCACGGGGGTGTCTTGATTACGGGATGTGCTGAAAAGCTACCGTAAAGAGTGCGCTGCAGCCCGAGTAGAAAAATGCAAAGCTCTCCGACCCAGGGCTCGACTCTCTGGAAAGAGTCCAGCGGGCTCTTCCAGGGTCGGGGAGTGTGGTGGGCTTCCTCAGGAGTCGGTGGGCTTGGGGTCGCAGCAAGCCTGGCTCCCAGCTCCTCCGCGTCACCCTGCGCGCCAGGGCCGGGAACCCCGGGACCTTGCCCACGGCTCTGCGACAGTTGCTGAAGCCAGGGCAGGGGCGGGGATGGGGTGGTATCGCGGGGACAGGGGGCTCCCTGTGGCTCAGCTCAGTTACTCCTTCTGTGCTCTGGTATTCAGAGGGAAGCTAATGAGAGTCTGGAGGCCAGTCAGGAAACTCACAGCCAGCTTCATTATTGAGGATAAAAGCCGGGCAGAATGAATTGAAAGTGCTCAGGGAGCCCAGAGACAGAAGCTCGATTCAGCCCGAGCCCTGTGAGGCCCCCTTGCCAGCCTCCGCGGGCGGCCGGGCCCAGCAGCCCGGGTTGGCAGACTAAGGGCAAGTTCAGACCTCGGGCCAGCGCAGGCGGCCCTGGGTCGCGGGGAGCCGGGCGCTGCGCAGGGCCCTCCACAGCATGTCCAAGGGGAGAAGGTAGGAAAGGTCGCGGCAGGGAGAGAGGGGGAGACAGTCAGGTCCTGAGCTCATGGGAGGGGTCATGGCTTCCAACAAGGCGCCCGAATGATGCACCGCAAAAAGTCGGCTCACTGAGACAGCAGCAGTGAATTTGAGGAAGAGAAGCCTGGCATCTCAAATGTGTTCTTTTGGCGATAGGAAAGGGGGAGACCTTCGGGGTGGGACCGACCTGTTCAGCTTTATGTCAGGCTAGAAACGACCCCGTATGGCTGCCATTGGAGATGTATTGGTAGAAGCTCTGCTCAGAACTGGTTTTTAACTCACGAGCTGAAATGCTGGGAACACTATGAAGAGCAATTACTGAAATTATATTAGGCTATTTCATTTCCATTCAGCCTTTTCCCACTCAACCAAAGGTAAATACATGAAAAATGGGATTCGTTTTTCACTTTCTGAAAGATTTTTATGTTATTTTTTGTAAACAGAAGTATTCCATCCTGGCCAAACTATTAATCTTTGTTCACTATAAATTGTTGACCAGTCCCCCCAAAATGAAAGGAATTTTCTAGAGGGGTTACTGAGAAAATAAACGGGCTCACATAACTTAAAGAAAGCTTGATAGGACGCCGGTGTAACAGGGGTGGATGGACGGATGGACGGACGGACGGACGACGGATGGGTAGGATGGAGGGATCGATGAGGAGTGTCTCACGTGCGTGATGATCAGTTCATTGTGTCAGGCTCAGTGAGGGAATATGATTTGTTTTAGCTTGTACCTTTCACTCCTTATTCCGTAAACTTTCCCAATCTCATTTTTAATGTAAAAAAAAAAAAAAACCCAATCATTTGCTTGAAAACCTTTATGCTACCCTGTTTTGATAACCTATCATATGTAAGCAATTGGACCAAAAACATCCCCTGCATTTCTTGAAGATTTCTTCAAAAATAGATCACTTTTCACACCACACGCTGAGACAATCATTGTTTGGAGAAGTGAATAAACTCCTCCAAAGCCCGGGGAGCAGCAGTAGCTGCTCTCTGCGCCTTTCTTGGCTTCCCTTTTGGGAACGTCCGCCTCTGTGCAGGGCCCCTGGCGCGCGGCATCTTCCACGGCAAACAGACCGCAGAGCGGCCGGTGCTGGGGACACGCCGAGTGGCATCTGGGACCCGGGCGGCGTTTCCTTCTCGCCTGCTGCCGCGCCCCGCTGAGCAGCGACTGGGGGACGGAGACTGTGGTCACCACCCCAGGACAGGGGGCCGCAGGGCTCGGGGGAGGAGCGCGCTCTGCCCGGGGTCCCAGCGGCAGAGCCCGGGTCCTGCCGTGGAGTCGCCGGGAGCGGAGCCCGAGGGAGAGAACGGGGACCCGGGATCCGTCTTGGCCCGCGTCCAGGCCAGCGCCTCCCGCCCGGCTGGCCCACGCGGGGCGCGGCCCCCGAGGGACTGTCGGACGGCTCTGCGTTCACCCACAAACTTTCTTCAGCGGCGCGGCGGGGAGCAATCGGGCAGGACGACTCTTGGGACAAAGGGCCAATTTTGGCGATGGGACAGAGACACCCCCGCGCCCACGGAGGACTCAGGGGCACAGTGCCCATTCCGGGGCCAGGGATGTGTGCGTCCCGCCTCCCACGCACCGTGTCCCCCCATCGCCCAGGCGCGCGTCGCAAGGCAGTGCGGCAGCGGGACCTACCAGTGCGGCCAGGATGCTCCGGCTCTTCTCGTCGGTGCAGCGCTCGGAGAGGGCGCCCGGGTGCGCGCGGAGCAGCAGCGCGGCGGCCAACACCCAGCCCGCGGTCCAGGCGGCGCAGGCGGCCAGCGCGCCTCGCCTGCCCCGCCAGCGCCGCCCGCAGCGCCCGGAGCAGCCCCGCGCGCCAGCAGCGCGCGCCATGTCCAGCCTGCCCGCCACCCACTCGCCGCCGTGCCCCGCGCTGGTGTCGCGGCTCCGCTGCCGCCGGCTCGGCGGGGGCGGGGGCGCGGGGGAGAGGCCACGCAAGGGGAGGCGAGGCCCGCGGCCGGATACCCTGCCCGGTGAGTCCTGCGGCGGGTGGGGGCTCCCGCCGGGGCACCCGGGGAGGGGCTTGTGCGCCCCCTGGACGCCCCGCTCCGTCGCCGCACCCGGGCGCCCTTTCCACTTCTTTTTCACATTTCCCCCCAAGACCCGCTCCTCTTAAACAGAATCCGCATAGATTCAAACTCCCTGGTCTGGGCTCCTGGCTCCTCGGTCAACACATCTCCAATGCAGACAAAACCCAAGACACCCCGACCCCGTCCCCTGTCCTCTGGGCGGCACTGAGTGCCCCACACGTAGACCCTGGTCACTGCGTGTCCCCCTCCGCCATTTGCTGTTCTGCTAGATTCCCCTCTCCTCTGCATCACCCCGACTTCGGAGGGCCCCGGGTGGGACCCGCGAGGAGCATGCCTAGAGTCGGGGTCCCCGGACACGACAGCCGGGGACGGTGCGGCCGCTGCGGCCGCCTTTCCCATCCCAGGCAGCCTCCTGAACCCAGAGCCCCCTCCCACCCCAGCCTAGGCTGCCAAAAACTCCAGGGTCCCTTTGCAGGGGCAACAAGCGCAGCACTCTAAACAGTTCCGCTTCCCCCCTCCGCCCCCAGCCAGGAGGAAGCACTCGCTAAATGTGTCTAAACCTGCATGTAGGTCTATTTGTAACATCCTCTCGGGAGCGAGCTTCAGTGCTCCATCCCAGCCGTTGCGGAAAATAGGCGGTCGCTCCTCAGGCTGAGCTGTCTGTCCTCAGTTCTGGCCAGCCGTCCCCTCCCTCCCCAGGCCACCAGCTGCTCCTCCCTCCGTCCCTCCCTGAAAGCCTGGTTCCCAGGGGAAGCGTGTGCTGGTGGGGGGCGCCCTGAGCCGTGGCAGCGCCGGCTCTGAGGCGCCACCCCGGGGCTCCGCATCCAGTGCGCAGGGGCTCGCGCTGGGCGCCTCCGGTGCCGCCTGGGGCGCTCACACCCCTGTCTCCACTGGGCCTGAGTGTCACACACCGATCCTGAGTGTGGGTGGGGCAGGAATTGCTCTGGCCCCGAGGAAGCAGCCTGCTGTTCTCTCTGGGAACTGGCTTCCCAGCCTTGGCTGTTCTGCAGCTCACAGCTCTGAGTTTCGAGACTCCATTGGAGGGGTCTCCAGGAATTGCGAAACACCGCAGGAACAAATGCTCAGCCCCAAGGACGCTCTGGGTACACCGCAGGTGTTCTCTAACACCACAGACGCTTGGGATTGGGGGGGGGGGGCACTCAGCCAACAGCTATAATGCCTGTCCCTTCCCCTCTGGCCAGCCCCGGCGCCCCCAGGGCACGCCCAGCCCCAACCCCAAGCTCCTCCAGGGAGCGTTTTCCTAGGCCAGCTGTGCCAACCTGGTCATCTCATTTGGACATGGCTGTGGAGCACAGAAGGCGTCCCAGGGCACTGCTTTCGAACCCTGACTTGATGGAGTAAGGCTACCCACCGCCTTTCCCCATAGTTTTATGGGGGCGGGGGGAGCAGAGGTGGGCCGGAGGATGAGATAAAGAAATGTAAACACATCATTCCAAGCCTAAGAATAAAATCACAGGGGAAAAGCAGAACGTGAAATCAAAGTCAGGGGTTGCAAGGTAAGCTTTATTTTTGTAAGTTTTTTAAATATGTGAACAACCACATTGCTTTTGGCATTTTATAAAGAAATATGTACAGAAGAAGAGAAAACGATAACCCCACAATGAAGAGATCCCCCGAACACGCGGTGCTGTTTATCGCAGAGTCCCGTGCGCCCGAGAACCGGAGGCAAGCCCGGGTAGGCAGGCCTGCCGCCGGCTGCACACCCCCCCGCACGAAGCCCCCCAGCTCAGCGCACCCAGCCCTTTTCCCAGGGTGGGGTGGGGTGGGGGGTCCCCTGGGGGAGGCCTTTCAAGACTACCTGTCCAAAGGGGGCCTGGGGGGAAATTCACACAAAGGTGCTTTATAGGCCAGCTGGTACTAAAGATATTCCCCTAGAGCAGCAAAAAGAGAAACAAATAAATGGTCACATTAAAACCCAGCATGAAGCTTTGGCTTCCTGAACAAGGACAGGAAGCGGGTCTCATCCCCCAGGAGCCAACAGCAGCGCCCTGGGGCCGGCAGGGACTGCAGGTTGGGCTGGAGGTGAGGGGCTCCCCCAAGAGGGGCCTGGCCGGGGGCTGGCTCCGTGTCAGGTTGATTGTAATAGGCTTGGACACCTTAAAAAAAAACTATGAAATCCAGGAACCGCTCCCTGACCCCGGCTCTGCAGACCGAAGCCATGCTGCTGGAAGTGGCTGAGCGCAATGAGCCGTGCGGCCACACTGAGTTCACCCAGAAATTCGTAAGGCGGCCCCCCTTTAGAAGAGGAAGGTCTGGAGAACCCACGGCAAATGCCCCTGAGCGGACGGAAGGCGCCCAGCGTTCGAGCTGGGACCTGCGACCCGCGACCCACGGCCAGGCCTCCGGCCGGCCCCCACCACAACAGGGCGGGGCAGACCCGCAGCCTGGTTGGAGTTCGTCTGCTGGCGTTAAGCTTGGGGCCGGGACTGCTTATTCATTGATTTCTTCTGTCGGTACGGACTGCCCGGTTTCATGCTCTGATCTCAGCATCTAATCGGGAGCCTGATCCAAAGGGCGTCCTTAAACACCTGCTGAAGAAATGAAGGAAGAGGTAGTCTAGCCTTTCCTCTGAAAGATCAGAAAGCTTTGAGCACCCTGCGGAATTTTCCTTGAGAATTTTTCTTTTAACACATAAATATTTCTCTCTGATTTCCTGAGGCGAAATGGAACAACACAGACACATCACAGGGCTGCGAATATGTTTGAACGTATCCTTGGAGTTCTGAACTCGTGTATTGACAGTTGAACTTGTCACTGGGAACAGAATATGAATAGTTTGCTTACAGGCCATTACTGGAAGAAAAAGTACAATTCTGTGGTTTTTCGGCTGAGTCGACCAGACAAATAGCTTTCTCAGTGTTTGCTTCTGCTACATGTCTACATACTTCGAGCTCATAAAAACATTTTTCTTCCTACAAAGACTTGGACAACAGCAAACACACCTAAGCTTGTGTGTACTTAATATATTCACACACATCCGCTCACATAAATATCCCAGCACCCAGTGGGGTGACTGGGTGAATGTTATTACCTAATGTCACAGAGAAAGACGTGGCCTTTTTTATATGACCCGTTAGTAGGAGTGACAGCTCCGAAGTCCCCTCACCTGCTTCTAGGTTTGATGCTGTAATGCCTGTTCCGCTGTTGGAATTGCCCGCTCTGCAGTGAGGTCAGACCGTGGAACGCTGTGTTCACGCCGCAATCGTTGACTGAAATAACCTGCCACAGGCCGGGAACGTGGCAAATGTTTGTCAGCATCACCCACTGTTTACAGAAGTCAGGAGGAACAACAGTTCACTCCGCTTCGCTTTCCTGCGGGAGGTCTCCACTGCCCACCCCAGCAACAGCTGCCCCCATTGCAGGAGGAAGGGAGGGCAGGGCAGGGGTGGCACCTTTCAGAGGAGGCGTGTTTCTGACCCCCTGTTATGGGGTTAGGGGCCGAAGGAGGGTAAGCCTGAAGAAAATGAAGGTTAGCCAAACCTCCCACCCCTCTCAAAAAAAAAAAAAAAAAAAAAAGCCTCTCCTGAAACACAAGGCACAGCTCCGGACGGTTGCCCGTCCCGTCATTAGGGTTTTACTTCATCCAGGCATGTAGGCTGCTTAGCCCCACCTGCGACGACCCCTTTTATGAACGAGAGCCTGGCTTGAGAGGAAGGAGAAGTTACTTCCAAGCCCGTGGGTGAGAGGAGCAGGTGCCCCCGGGTGCCCTTTAAAGCTGGAGGCCTGAATTCTAAACGCAAGAGGGCAGGAGACAGGAGTGAGGGCCGAGTGCTTCAGACAAGCAGATAAATGAAGGCTGGCTGCCTTGGCGGTCTTGCCGAGGGCGCCCGGACTGTGCGGTGAGTGAAGCCCCATCAGCGCCCCCCCCCCGATTTAGCGGAATGAAGCACCCTCGAAGGCTGCGGGCCGAAGCCCTGGTGCCAGGGTGTCTTGCAGTGCAGCGCAGGGCAGGGCAGCAGCAAGTTGGGCGGGGCCTGAGTGTGCGTGACCCCGGGGCCGGCTTGGCCGCAGCAGGGGTCCTCTTGGGCAGTTTGGCCGCCGCCTCTTCTGTGTGTTGAGGTTGGCGGGGAATCTGCACAAAAGGAGTCGCTGTGTTCCTGCAGGCCTCGCCTCCGTGCGTAAGCCTCCGGGGTTCCCAGGCCTTCCCCAGTTGGAAGAAAACTTCAGGAAACTTCTAACCTTCTTGGGCCTCCCTGCTTGTATTTTCATTTCAGCTCCAGACACAGCTGCCGGTCGGACTGTCCCCCGGCGGCCGTGGAGGGGTGGGAGCAGCCACCCCCATGCCGGTCGGTCCTTGTCCCTCTGCCCTGCAGCCTCTTTGTCCAGCATACACTTGACAGGCCACCAGCTTCCTGTGCATAACGGCGAAGGAGGCCCCTCACCCTTGCCATCCCCGGGGGAGCCCCTCGCAGGGAAAAAATGTATCACTCAACACAGGGGCCCCCAGGAAAGGGTGCCATTCCAGAATTTAGTTCCCTCTTGGCAAATGACACGCCACTCTTCGCAGACGAGCGTTCCCCGTGCTGCGTGCCTGAAACCGGCTGCAGCCCCCGTGCTGAACTGGGTCTGAACACCGGGCCTTCTCACCAGCCCCCGAGAGGAGGAGGCGCCCAGCGCCCCCACGGGTCTAGCTGGGCTGGAAAGTCCCCAGGGCCTCAGTGCCGTGGAAGCGGCCGCTTTGCCAAATAACCGTCCTAAAAATACCTATTGCTCTGGAATGAGAGTCTCCTTACCGAGGGTTATTAAATGTCAGCACACGAGAAGCCAGCGTGTCGAAGCACC